GCGCACATCGCATCATCTCAACCCCTCCACCTCCCGCTCCTCCCCCATCCACCGCCTGTCACCCCATCCACCGCCCGTCACCCCCCCCCCCCACAGCTTCTGGAAGCGCGTGTCCAACCTGGACAGGGCTGAGACCAAGAGGTACCTGGAGGCCCTCTACGTCCTCAAGATGAGGTGGGAGGGGCGGTTATGTGGTTCATTGGTGGTGCAAGCCCTGCCTCTCAAAGCAGGGGTTTGGGAGGCCTGCGAGCAACCGGGGTTGGGGCTGCCAGCTCCCTGGGGGCTGGGGCGTGGGGCCCTGCAGCAACCCAAAGGCAAGCCCCAGGACCAACACCTGGGGAGTAGGGCCGTCCATCGACTGGCGCGTTGCCCTCACCAGTAGTACAGTGTTGAAGTCACCAGAGCTCGCGCTCCTCTCCTCACGCTCTCGAAACGACTGTTTTGGCCGCCCCCTTCGCAACCGCGCGCAGGCCGCTGATTGAGAAGGTGCCCCTGACCGAGGATGCCGAGGAGGAGATGCCCCCCACTCCCACGTCGCCGCTGCCCAAGCACTTCTTCTGAAGCGGCGGCGTGACGCGCAGCGGGCGGCGGGTCTCGCGCGCGCGACCCTCCTGGGGGCGGGCCGCCGTGTGTGGCCGCGCGGCTGGTGGCGGTCGGCGGCGGATGCACGTGCGCGTGCTGCCTTCTCGCAGTGGTGGTGTGGTGCGTACGGCAGTCTGAGGGCGCAGCTGGCGGGCGTCGGGGAGCAGCAGCTGCAACACAATACAGTTTGCAGAGGGGGTCAGGTTCGCGGGCCAGGCTGGTGTGGACTGATTGCCAGTCATTGATACGCGGAACGAGAGCAGGATGAAGTGTGGGGGTGCCTGGTGCGCACTCTGCGGAGCCTGCTGGCAGCTGGCTGCGCCAGTCGTGCTGCTTTGCCCGGCGGCAGCCTGTGGGATCGGGGTCCGAGGCAGCTGTGCGGGCGAGCGAACTTTACATGTACGTTTTAATGCTCAACGGGCCAGGGGTGGGTGCGTGTCGATGGCGTCACTTGAGGATTTTTCAAGTGCGATGCGGACGGGCGCAGCGCTGCAAGCAAGGTGGTTCTGGCCCCCGCATTCGGGCCTGCGCCCGTGCGTCTACCTTCCACGTTTTTTGGTTCCAGGGTGTATTGGTGCTCCGTTCGGTCTGCATTTGCCACTTGCGGGTGTTCCGGGCAACAAGGGCGGGGCGGCCCCAGCCGCAGATTCAAAATGTGGCAGCAGGCAGGCGGCTAGATGGTATGGCTCGTGTATTGGGGATCGTTTGACCCGCCTTGCGCGACCTTGTGGGCGCACCTCGTAGCTATGTGGACACCAGACATGCGCTTTTAATCTGCTTCCTACGCGCAAACACCCTGCGCAACAGCGCGTGCATGTCGCGTTGCTTCAGCCAGGCTGTGGGATGTTTGCTTTGAGGGCGAGGGGTTCAAAGGCCCCGGCTATGTTTTATTCTGCATTTTCATGTGTGTAACCGCATTCAGGATGATTCCCCTGCTCAGCAACACAAGATGACGTCGCGCAACCTCAACAAGACACATGGCGGCGCATGATGGAAAGCAGAAAGACCCCGGAGGCACGGTTCGCACCTCAACAGTTGACCACCTGTCCTTCTCCTGCTGGCATTTGTGCGACCACTTGAGCCTTTGCCCATGTGATTATGAGCCCACTGCAGGCATCCTCGTCCCCCTGCTGCTCTAGGCCAGGCGCGCTACCAGCACCTCACTCACTCACCCGCCACTCAACGTCCATGGATTCAGTTAATCGCAGTCATTCCCCTTCAATAGCGTGCGCGTTTAGTTGAATCAAGGGTCAAGATTAGACACCAAGGGACACCAAGGGATGGTGTCCTCATTGCCTGTTGTATCGCTGTGCCTGGAAGAAGCTGCTGGATCAAGGAAGCTGCTGATCTGGCTTCGCTCAACTTCCAATCATCGATGTGCAGGTCTATCAAAATCACACTGATATCTGAGCCGGGAAAATTGTTATCAACGCCAGATCAGCGATGTTCGTCCCTGAAATGCTGAAGGTGTACGCGGTTGCTCTAGCGTCCTTGATGGCAGGTGCAGCGGTCGTGCATACCATTATGAAGCCTGATCTAACGCTGCCCGTGGAGCCCAGTGGCGGCGATACTCCCGCCAAGCCTGAAACGCAGCAGTAGGCGACGCTGCTGCGACAGCCGCGATTGTTGCACTTCGGCCTGGGAAGCCGCGTCATTAGCGACACCAGCGGGCGACTCAACCTCTCTTGCATTGCGGCAGCAGCAGCCGCGCTGCAGTAAAGCGCTCAAGATGCCGCAGGTGGCGAGCGGCGGGCGCGGCCGTGGTGTCGTCGCAGCGGCGGTCATGCCCAGCAAGTGGGCCGCAGAGGCTTTGGATGACAGCGGTGATGAGCAGCAGGTGAGGGCAATAACTTACAAGGGCAGGCTCCAAACTTTGCGGGGTCGGCTGCACCTAGCTTACATGAAGCACGCTCAGTTTTGGCTGGTGCAACGCGGCAGCCCAGCATGAGTCGCCTCGCCCCGGACCCAGCCGCTTGCCCCATGACCTCCATGCTGTGCGCGCAGCGATGCTGCTCGCATCTTAGCGCAAAATTCATGAGCTCGTGCGCGCAAACACGTCACCTGTGCAGGAGGGGCCCCTTGGCGACGTCCAGGGGCGGCTGTTTGAAAAGTACATGGAGGCCTGCGACGAGCTGTCAGGCAGCGAGGACGAGGACAGGTGCGCCTCCGCCTCCCTCCCAAAACGGGGCGCTCGCGCTGGCGGACGGCCGCAGGCCTCGCCGGGGACGCGCCCCGAAGCGTGGGCGCTGTGACGCAGGCAGCTGCATCACCACCTTGAAGGTCCGAGGTAGTTATTAAGGGTAGCGCCTGGCACATCCACCACACCATTCATCCCCCTTTGCTTGGGTCTATGCTGTGTGTGCATGCCCATCCTTTCCGCAGGGACGCCATCTTTGCGCAGGGCCTGGCGCGCGTGGCTGAGTGGGTGTCTGCCGGCGCGTCCAACAGCATGTGCCTGATCTGCCTCGGATCTATTAAGCCGTCCGAGGCGATCTGGCACTGCGGCGGCTCCTGCTTCGCCGTGTTTCACCTGCCATGCATGCAGGTGAGGCATTGCCAGGCTCCAAGGAAAGCGGGTGGCAGGAGAGTGGGGCTGAGGAGTAGGAGGCCTTGCCTGAGCTCAAATGCAATGTAAAGCGGGGCCCAGGAAACCGGGCCCGAGGACAGCCGGACTGAAGGATCGCAAAGCAAAGCAGCCAGGGCAGTAGGGGCCACGGCAGGAGGGGCCAAGGCACGCTGGGTCAAGGCGTGCGGGCTCAAGCCGGGCTGGGTAGAGCAAACACACAAGACCAGCCCTGGGCCAAACAGGGTGGGCTTGCGTCGCATTGCACATCCTGTCGGTCAGCCACAACGCCGACACGCAGTGGCACAGCGCGCACTTGCTGCATTTGGCGCACCTCGCCGCCGGCACAAACGCCGCACCAACGTCCACGCCCATGCGCCCTCCCTCCTCTCCAATTTGGCTTGGAACACCCCAGGACTGGGCCCGCAACCAGATCGACTCGGCGTCCCTCCGCGCCCACAACGCCAACGGCAGCGCGCCCGCGCGGGACGAGCTCGAATTTGGCTGCCCAAAGTGCCGCTTCAGCTACCCCGCTGCGCAGGCGCCACGCAGCTACACCTGCTTCTGCGGCAAGCAGCAGGACCCAGATTTTGACCCGTGAGCCATTGAGGCTGCCTGCCACGCTCGTGCGCCAATGTGGCACATGTTTTAGGATTGTGACGGTCTGCTGATTTTAGTGGAGCATTTCATAGGGGAGGCGTGCTAGCTGCAGCAAGAGGCTGTGCAGCCGGATGCGCCCAGCTATCCGCGGGAATATTCTCGGTCCTGTCGGACTCTCGTGCGGTGACCCTCGCGCCCAACCCGCCCCGCGTGGGCCCCTGTGCTGGGTCGACCCCCCGCCCAGGTGGCTCGCCCCCCACACCTGCGGCGAGCTCTGCGGCCGGCAGCTGCCCGGCAGCTGCTCCCACACCTGCCGCCTGCTCTGCCACCCCGGTCCCTGCGCGCCCTGCCCGCTCGTTGTAGACGCGGCCTGCCACTGCGGCAAGCGGCGCCAGAAGCGGCGCTGCGGGCAGCAGAAGTTTTCGTGCCAGTCCGTGTGCGCGCGGCGGCTGGACTGCGGCCACGCGTGCGAGGCGGTCTGCCATGAGGGGGAGTGCCCGCCGTGCCGACAGGTGGGGCGGGGCCACCTGGCGCTTTGCTTGCCGTGCTTGGGGCCGCATACCCATGTTCTTGTGCCGACCTGAAGTGCGCGTTTCTGCAGGCAGCCCTCAGCATGCATGCCTGTTTTTTCCTGGTCACTAGTCGCATTGACTTCTCTCCCCCACCTTTGACGCGCTGTGTGACAACCCACTTGCCTACAGGTGGGAGTTTTCACCTGCGAATGCGGCGCCGAACAGAAGCGCCTCGCCTGCTGCGAGCGCCCCTTCCACTGCGCCGCCGTCTGCGGCAAGCCGCTGGGATGCGGCCGCCACGCGTGCGAGAGGGTCTGCCACGCCGGGCCCTGCGGGGGCTGCGCATTTGAGGGGCGCCGCAGCTGCCCCTGCGGCAAGGCAGTGTATGCTGAGCTAAAGTGTGACGAGAAGGCCCCCACGTGCGGCGGCACGTGCGGCAAGCGGCTCGCGTGCGGACTGCATACCTGCCAGGAGCGGTGCCACCACGGGGAGTGCGGGAAGGTGCGTTTGAGCGGCGCGGCGCCCTGGAGCGCCGCTTTTGACGCCTCGACGGAGCCTGTGCTCAACCCAGGCATGCGTGGGTCGGTCTCTCCAGCTCTCGTGACTGCAGAATCGTATACATCCCATCCGTCCATCCAAGGTTTGCACATTTATTGATCGCCCTACCCCCTGCACCCCAGGTGTGCCGGGACGTGGTGACTAAGCCATGCCGCTGCGGCCGCACGTCCAAGCAAGTGCTCTGCAGCACTGAGGTCCTCTGCGAGCTCCGCTGCACCAACATGCGCGCCTGCGGCCGCCATGCGTGCCGGCGGCGCTGCTGCGACGGCAGCTGCCCGCCGTGCGAGGAGACATGCGGGCACAGGCTGCGGTGCGGGAACCACAAGTGCCCGGCGCCCTGCCACAGCGGGCCCTGCAGGTGCGTGACCGCGTGTTGTGGAGTCAGGGCTACCTGGCGGCTGCGTGGTCTGTTGCAGCGCAGCGCCCAGGATTGGTGTTATACGGCGCGACTATATTTGTGCGACTATATTTGTGATGTGACTTGCCCAGTTTGAGTTGCCTGATGCATGTCTCGTATGCACCAACCCAGCGATTTTGTTCCTTGTTAATGGCCTTCAGTTGGGTTGCTATTTTGGGCCAGCTTGAGACACATCATGGCACCTCCATCACCCCTCCTGCCCCGCAGGCCATGCCCCCTGACGTTCACCGTGTCGTGCGCCTGCGGCCTCACGAAGCACCCGCTGCCCTGCGGCGCCGAGTCAAAGGCGGTCCCCCCGGCCTGCCGCCACCCCTGCCCCGTGCCGCCGGTCTGCCGCCACGCGGCTGCGCGCCACCCGCACCGCTGCCACTACGGGCCGTGCCCGCCGTGCAGGCACGCGTGCGGGACCATGCTGGCGTGCGGGCACGCGTGCGCTGTGGACAGGTGCCACGATCTGCAGCCGCAGCCGATCCCGCCTTGGGAGCAGCCCAAGCCCCCGAGGAACGTCGCGCAGACAGCGGCGGCCGCGGCCGGCAGCAACAGCAGCAAGCGGCGCGCAGAGGCGGCGCAGGCCGCGGCCGCGCCGCCCGAGCCCGCGGCGCGCGCCGCGG